GAAAGGTTAAAAAAAAAAAGGACTCAGAGGGAATAAAGTGGTCTGTCATTTCTTTTATAGCCCAACACTTAGTAGTAACTTTTCTTTTTTAAAAATTTAAAATTCTTTTTTTTTGGCTGGGCAATGGGGTTAAGTGACTTGCCCAGGGTCACACAGCTAGTAAGTGTCAAGTGTCTGAGGCTGGATTTGAACTCAGGTCTTTCTGACTCCAGGGCCTGTACTCTAGCCACTGTGCCACCTAGCTGCCCCAAATGGTAACTTTTCTGATGAGATGGTCCTCCCAAGAGTCCCAGATAACCCGCTCCTATTGTTTGTTTTTGAAAAGGATCAGTGACCTCATGAGTGATGGCTTGACTTGTTCGTGAATTGGATTTAAGTGAGGCAGAGTTGTACAAAGTCATCAGCCTCACTGTTTCTTCCTGAGTCACTGAAGTCCAGAGGCAGGACAAAAGTCAAGATGACTGGTGTAACCAATGCAACCAAGATTAGAAGGGAAGCACAAAGTTGGGAAACAATCTTTACAGCCAATATCTCTGATAAACACCTCATTTCTAAAATATATAGGGAACTGAAACAAATTTGTAAGAATACAAGTCATTCCCCAATAGATAAATGGTCAGAAGATATGAACAGGAAGTTTTCAGATGAAGAAATTAAAGCTATCTACAGTCATATGAAAAAATGTTCCAAATCATTATTGATTAAAGAAATGCAAATTAAAACAACGCTGATGTACCACATCACACCTATCAGATTGGCTAATATGACAAAATAGGAAAATGATAAATATTGGAGAAGATATGGAAAATTGAAACATTAATGCATTGTTGGTGGAGTTGTGAACTGATCCAACCATTCTGGAGGGCAATTTGGAACCTTGCCCAAAGGGCTATAAAACTGTGCATTTCCTTTGATCCAGCAGTATCACTACTAGGTCTGTATCCCAAAGAGATTATAAAACAGGGAAAAGGACCCATATGTACAAAAATATTTATAGCAGCTCTTTTTGTGATGGCAAAGAACTGGAAATTGAGGGGATGCCCATCAATTGGGGAATGGCTCAAAAAGTTATAGTACATGAATGTAGGGGATATTACTGTTCCATAAGAAATTATAAACAGGCAGATTTCAGAAAAACGTGGAAAGACTTACAAGAACTGATGCTGAATGAAGTGAGCAGAACCAGGAGAACATTGTACATAGTAACAGCAACATTATGTGATGATCAGCTTTTATAGATTTGGCTCTTCTCAGCAATATAATGATCTAAATTAATTCAGAAGGACTCATGATGGAAAATATTGTCCATATCCAGAGAAAGAACTATGGAGTCTGAATACAGATCAAAGCATATTATTTTCTTTTTTTTTATTTCTCATGGTTTTTTTCCTTTTGTTTTGATTCTTCTTTCACAATGTGACTAATGTAGAAATATGTTTAATATGATTCTACATGTATAGCCTATATCAGACTTCATGCCATCTGGGGAAGGGGAGGGAGGAGAAAAACATTTGGAACTCAAAATCTTATAAAAATGAAAGTTGGAAACTAGTTTTACATGTAATTGGGAAAAAATTAAATGCTATTAAGTGGGAAAAATAAACATTTTCCATTAAAAAAAAAGATGATTGGTAATGGCTCAGGATGCAGTGGATGACCTTGGTGTCTTTGATGCCTGACCAAGCTCTAAGCCGCCACAGGCCTGCTTCAGCCACCTTAATGGCATGGAAACAAATTGTTCTCATTCACCCATTCTTCTAGGGGAAGTCTTCACATGCTTGGAGTAGATACCTTCCTATCTTGCCAAAAGGTTTGAGACCCATCAGTTACCCTCAACCTGGTTTAGCTCATCTGCTGGGATGGTTTTATGAGGGTGTGGCCACTACGTATGCTACAGCTTCTTGGAACCGCAAGTGAGAGCTAGGCAAACAAAAGGTAGATGAACAGCCCTAGAAAGGGCTTGGCAAGCTCTCACACTTGTCCTCACTCCTGAACGCTCCATATACCCCAAACTAATCCTAGCTAACCAAATCATATTCTTTGTCATTGGAACTTGTTCCCTAGGGGAAGCTAAGAGATGACTCCAAATCAGCAAATTTATTTTTGGAGCAGCCTCAGTCTTTGAGACCCAATAATGAATTGTTTTGTCCTCCTAACAAGGTGCCAGTGGTCATATTCAGACCCAGTATAGGAAGAGGTGCTTTTAAAAACCCTATGACTTCAAGTTGATTGAAAAAAATCCTTGATCAATCCCTATTCACATAAGACAGTGGGGAGAGTTTAGAATCCTATAGAAATCAGTAACTCTAACTCTAACCCTAACCCTAACCCAAACCCTAACTCTAATTTCAAATCCTAGCCCAAACACTAACCCTAATTTCTAAGCCCAACTGTAACCCTAACCCTAACCTTATCCCTAACCCTAATCCTAACCTTAACACTAACCCTAACCCTAATCCTAACCCTCCACCTCCCATCAACTGTTTTACTCAGTCTCTCTGCTTCTTCTTGCCCTGTAGTGACACATTAAATGGCAGAAGTTGTAACCTTTGCATCTGAAGTATTGAGCCAGAAAGTTGTCAAGAGGAAATAATGGTTTTGATATGCAATAGGAGTGGCAACATATTGGCCAGATCAGAAATTAGAAGGAAAACTAACCATAGAGCAGATAAACACTTGTCTCCTGTTTAGCCTCAAACCAGGTCCTGGGGGTCACAGGTGAGGCATGTGGTCTTACTTGCTACTTTTATGTTCTTTAGGAGATAGAAGTCTTCTGGTTAATTTGAGGTGTTGGACCTTCTGGGGCCCTGGCAAAGTGTGCTTCTTCATTCTTTGGCTAAGACAGCCCTTCTGTTGGGAAAACTTGCAGGAATTGATGGAGGTTGAAGTAAGTAGAACCAGGAGAAAAATTTCTGTAGTAGGTTTAGAGGTTTAGGGGCGTTGGGACCCCAAAATCATCTCCCAGCCCCTACAAGTTGCATATTATAGATTCACAGTTTCCTATGCAATCTTCTTTTTCTGTTCCTTGTAGGTGGGAATTTTCATGTTTGTTGGTGTTTATCAAGTTCAGAATAACAAAAAAAAATTGTTTTGTTTTAAACCGTAGCCCTTTCTCTTCATTCACTTATTCTCCTTGACATTATGGCTTTTTGACTTCTGAGTCTGGCATCTAAGTAATATAACATAAAGCCAGTTTCATCTTCTGTTTGAATATTTGTGTGAGTGGATTTTTAGAATTTTGTGTAACCCTTCCTGGCCTGTTAGTTTAAGATCTTCTTAAGGAAATATAAGATTCAGGGAGTAACTATGGGCAGCTAGGCAGATTTTTGTCTCAAGTTCATAAAGACCTGTGATGTTTAAACTTAACATCAGAGGATCGTAAAGCACAGAGAGAATGCATCTTGGCTAGTCATGTGGAGAATTGAGACAGGGTCAGAGTGATGTTCCCTGTCCCTGGGTGCCCTGCCCCACCCCCCAATCTTATTGGTTGCTGTTACAGATGATGGTGATTAGGGCTGAGGAGCTGAAAGCAGCATCTGTGAAGTGGGCTGGTGAGCCACAGACACACCCAGTCCTTGATACCTTCATATTTTCTTTTTCTGTCCCTGGTAGGCAAGCTACTTTCTGTTAAGTATTCAAAGTATTCACTTTGTATTTCCTCCTCCCTCCCAAAGGGGGCATATGTTATGGGGGGCAAGGCAGGGGAGGGAGGGGGCTAGGGCAGGGCTGGGGTGAGTCCACTCTATTCCCTATTGCCAGCAGGGTAGGATGCTGACATTCCCAATCTATTATTCCTTAATTGGTTACTGACCTTTTCCTTGTGTATAAAGTTATCTCTACTGATATAAAAAAAATTGGTAGCCACTAATTCTGACTGGCTAATGTTTTTGTTTTCTGGTATGGTTTAAAGTGACCCAGAGGAGGGGACTGGGGGCAGGTTTTGCCTTTAAAGAGATGGTCAGTGGGAACACAGTGGAAGTTAACGTGAGGCAAGGAGACCCTGAATCCTTACTGAAAAGAAAGTGCGTAATCATTTCTTAGTAAAAAAAAAATTGAGGCTATGCATTGTTATTATACCTAAGACCACCATTATTTTCCCACCTGAGTTCTATTACAAGGAAGAGCTCCTTTAATCTGTACTGGAATTAAATTCATGATCCAAATAATTATTTGGTTGGTTGGCTGAAATTTCCTTGAAGTGATAAATATTTATTTTAATCTTGTGTGTTTAATAACTTCACTGCATTGATCCAAAAAGTCACCCAGTATCCTTCCCCTCCATTGGTCTCTTGACCAATATGGAGAAAAATTTAAGAAGTAACATTTTAAGGAGAAATTGTATGCACATGGGTACACACATGTATGTGTGTATGTGTGTGTGTGTGAGACAGAGAGAGAGAGAAAGAGAAGGAGAAGGAAAAGCAGAAGAGAGAAGAGGGAAAAAAAAGTAGGGAGAAAGGGAGGGGAGAGAGACAGAGACAAGAGATAGAGTGAGATCATAACTAAAAGATCCCCAAGTTTAGAAGATTAGTCTTGTTGGCAAACTTGTGGTGAGAGTACATTTATTCTTCTGGCGCAGAATTAGGAAAGGTATGAGAACATTTGTTCATACAATAACTACCTGACAATGGAAATTAGGATTTTTATGATAGTTTTGTTAGTGAGTAAAAATGATACTGAGGCACAGTTTTCTCCAGGACAAGATATCATTTTATCAACAGTGACATGTGTACTGTTAGTAAAATGGGTTGCACTGGCACCTCAGCAAAAAGTAAATCGGCTATTAAATAATACAGCATTAATTTTCTTCAGTTTATCACAGCTTCAGGCCCAGGCTTCAGTGAGAACTTTGTGGCTAGAGTCTTGCCAGGACTCAGGCTTCTCTATTCAGATTTTCCCCCACTGTCGACAGGGTCAAAAGGACTCTGGGTCCAGATATAAAATACACCGTAAGACACAGGCACCAAGGATGGTGATTTTTCTTTCTAATCTAGTTCCAGAGTTTATTTTCATTTCAAATTTTATTTGCACAAATGATAGAACAGACATTCACACAGCACACCAATTTAATCTTCACAGGAAACTGGGGATGCGTGACAGGCTTAGCATAAAGGGTCGAACAGCCAAAGCTCAGGAAATACCTCCTCCAGGACTGAATGAGTGATAGCAAGATGGCCAGGAAGGCAGCCAGATGAATCTCATGACAGGCAGGAAAGTTTTGTCTCTGAAACTGATTTACAAAAGTGAGAGCAATTCTTCAGATGACTTCCCTCCAAGGCTCGGACAACTGTCTCATCCTTGCGAGGAAGGCCCTTTTGATACCTCCCCTTACTCCAGCTCTTTATTGCCCTTGAACTTTTATGGGAAGAGTTACATGAGATCCACCCAAATACTGTAGGCAGAGACTAGATACAATTCTACCAGCAGGGGCTGACACACAAATACACCCAGAACACAGGACCAAGGTCACTGACAATTAAGGACTGACTTTTAAACCAAGACACAAGGCCAGCTCAGACTTCTGAATTTTCCCATCCTTGTTCATATCGCAGTGACGGAGCAAAATCTCTCGAAACTTATCCAGGTCCACCCCACTGATGCTGGGCTAGAGAACAAGAAAACAAAATGATTATTAGAAAAACTGATAGGATCCATAGTAGCTGCAGGGATGCAAGCTGGGAACTGAGCCTGCAGCATCCTGAAAAGAGATAGGATATGGCAGGAAGCTATACATTTGGAGGGGCTGCTCTAACTGCTTCTAATACAAACAGGTTCATTCCCATGTGCATCCCTCAAGGTGATGGGCTTGTACTCCCACATCATGTTCCAAACTTTCCCAGAAGCTCTGCTTTGCTAGCCACAGCCACACACCTTCAAACAGGAGTGGGGTAGAGTGGAGGAGGTGGAGGGGGTGGGGACCCAGCCAGGCTGGTGGTGATTATGAATTATGAATTCTGCCTTGTGGCATTGCTGGAAAAAGACCTGGTTGATTACTTCCCTGTGGGGGGTTTTGTGCCTCTGGCAGCAAAAACAAAAAAGGTCATTATGATTCGCCGAATGAATGAAAGTCTAGCTCAAACATTAAGTTGTTCCAGTGAAAGAAGCAGAAATGATCCCAGGGGATATTTTAGGGACCAAAATGCCATTATGATGTTTTAGTAGCTAGGGAAATGTTTTAAACTCTGAGAAGCATTGTTTAGGGTTTGGATATTCAAGAGAAAGGGTCAGGTTCACTTTATAACAGACAGAGGAGAAAATAAAGAAAGCTTTGTGGGAATGGGACATATATTAGGTACCCAAAAAAAGAGAGGAAGAGCGCACTAGAATGGGACTGGGAAGTTCTGAAAGGGGAGTCTGCCTATTTAATTATTTTTGAGAGCCAGATTTGCCTCTATGACTTATGTGACATAGGATGGAAAACTGGGCATTGAAAGAACTTGTAGGGTGACTGCAGAGTCAGTGATCTTTGAGAAAATAGGTAGAGGGGAAGAGATATCATCTGACTGGAAACTGCAAAACAGTGTGTTGATTTTCAAAAATGGAAAAAAGGTAGATATTTCAAATTTTAGGCTAGCAAGTTTGATGTCAATTCCTGCCAAAATTCTAAAGTGTATTATTATAAGGATCAGTAGTTGGATACTTAGAAAGGGAAATGGTAGATCACTATAAGAACAAAATCATGCCCAACTAAACCTCTTTTTTATTTTATTTTATTTTATTTTTTACAATATTAGTAACCTCGTTACTGAGGGCAAAATATGGCCTGTGGACCAGATCTGGCATGCTGCCTGTTTTTGTATGGTCCAGGATCTAAGAATTTTTTTACATTTATAAATAATAATTACTTTTAAATGTGATACTTTAAAACATATTATAATTATTAAACAATTATTTTAAAAAATAGAATATAACAATTATTTTAAAATGCAAAAATGATTCTTAGCTCATAGGCTGTACTAAAATAGGGGGTAGGCCAGATTTGGCCCTCTGGTCATAGTTTGCCAGCTCCTGACCTAATGAAATACTATACACATAGTATATGCGGATTTCAGAAAGGCATTCAAAAAATTCTCTAATTGTATCCTTGTTGATAAGCTAAAGAGATGTTGCCTGGGTAATAGTATAGTCTGGTAGATTCAAAACTGAAATGACCAGATCCAAGGAGTGATGGTTAATGGATCCATGTCAACCTGGAAAGATGGTGGAAGTGGAAGTTTTGTCTTCTGTCCTGCTCCTCTGAGCATTTTTATCAAATGCCTTGGATAAAGATAGATATTTGTCCAGTCATGTCTGACTCTTCATGACCCCTTAGCAAAGAAACTAGGGTAGTTTGCCATTTCCTTCTCTAGCTCACTTTACAGATGAGGAAATTGAAACAAACAGGATAAAGTGATTTGTCCAGAGTCACACAGCTAGCAAGTGTTTGAGGCTGGATTTGAACTCACAAAGAGCAGTCTTCCTGATTCCAAGCCCAGTGTTCTATATCCACTGAACCACCTAGCTGCCTAAAAGACAAATACAGCATATATCAAGTCTGCAGATGACATGAAGTTGAGAGGCATTGCAAATAAATAGGGTAGGATAACTAGAATTCACAAAGGTCCCAGAAGGGCAAATTAACAGGATGATGAGAAATGCAAAAAGGTTTAATGTAAAGTGAGGATGAGTTAACAGAAGTGGCATTTAGAATAAGGTTAACAAATCTACTGTATTTTGCCTTGGTCACACCACCTCTGACTGCCCCATTTTGGAAGCCACAGCGTAGGAAAGGCACTGGTAATCTGGCTTCAACTCTATGCCACACAAGGGCTAATTGAAGGTATTAGAGTTGTTAAGCTGGAAAAATGAAGACCTGGATTTCAAGTCAGGGGTCTCCTTTATTGTGATGTTACCCTTGCGTGACTTCGGACGCTTAAGTCACTTTGTCAGCCTATCCTCTCATTTTTATGATGAGGGGAAGCCTACATGCTCTTTGTAGTTCCTTTCAGCTCTAATTCCATAAATACTATGAAGAGCACACCTTGGCAGTCTTTTGCTCATTTCTTTTATAGGCTTTGCAACTGACTTTGACCAAAAGTTAAGTCAACAAGTAATTTTTTTGAGGGGTGGGAGGGAAGGGTAGCCATCATTTTAATGACATTGATCTTTGGTGTTTTGCCGTTTAGCCATTGGACTACCCCCCTTTCCTCCTACCAAAAATGTCTCTATGATGAATTACAGAGAGGAAACCACATTTTATACTAGAAATAAAATCATCAGAGCCTCCACTAGAAACTATATATATATATATATACAAACTATATAAGATTTCATATGTTATATCTGACAGGACATACTGACAACTCAGCCTGTGACCCAAAGCTGCACTCCTTGCTCAGTCTGAGGCCTGGTGATGCCCAGGGTCATAATACTGACACATGCAGTCACTGCTCTAGTGGACCCTGGATCTTGGTGAACCAACACAGAGGTGGGCTCTCCTTGTCCCAAGCTCCCTGAGTGGGCACCTACCAACTACTGTGTATTACTTCACTTTGCCTGGAGAAAAAAAAATCCTCAGTAAGCAAATGAACTGTCCCTACCACCATGTAGTTGTCCCCCCACCAGTGAAGTTTTTCCTAGAGCTCATCCTAGGGGCCCTTTCTAGGTAAGAAAGTGGAGGGATCAGATCTGAAGAGACCCAAAGATGGGAGAGAGCTTTGAAGGGGTTAAGATACTCCACTTTTCCTATGGGTTAGGGTCCCAAGCAGCCCTGCTCTGCGAACACAGGGTTTTTCACTTCAGGTTTTCTCCAGAGTTGGAATATGGTTTATCTTTGTAGGCTTCTCTCCCTTTCCCTTGTCCCATGAGAGAAAAGGACTCATGAGAGTGAGAGAAAACTAACACTCACTTTCCCAGAGACCCACTTTACCCATTGGGTTTTAGTGTGCAGAGGGTAGTGCCAAGTGACCACAGAACAGGGGAGGGGGATAGTCACTAGGCTCTGGTATAAACAGAGAGATAGACATACATATAGATATGTGTCTGGACTCTAGAAGGTTAGTCTAGGGGAATCTGGCCCCAGTTCCCATTCTCATTCCTTCCTATGACCTTCCTCCTTTATAGCCCATATGATTCTCTTTGTGGCCAGAAGCTTCTCCATGTGCACAGCTCCTAGTCAGCTATGAGATCAGGTCTCTGCTCAGCAGTATGAGGGTGGCGAAAATGGACATGGTTTTAACAAGCAAATTTTAAAATGCTTACTATAGGGCTGGCTTACTGTGCGCTAAGTGCTGGGTGCAAAAAGAGGCAAAGGCAGTACCTACCTGTCCTCATGGAGGAAATTCTAATGGGAAAAACAACATGCAAATAACTAGGTATGTATAGCAAATATGCAGAGTAGATGGAAGCAATCTCAGAGGAGAAGGCCCTGGAGGGACCAGGAAAGGTCTCATACAGAAGGTGGAGGAAGGAGTCACCAAGATTGAGTCGGTGAAGAGTGGAGACAAGCAGCCACAGGAGACCCCTTCCCCAGAGGAACCAGAGCACTGTGCCAAGGAGCTAAAGTGGAAGAAGATCACTCTGGCTGATGTGGGCATCCCCTTTGGGGCTCTCTTTGGCAAGGTTTTTAGCCAGACCACCGTCTGTCGCTTTGAGGCACTGTGGCTCAGCTACAAGAACATGTGTAAGCTCCGACCTTTCTACAGAAGTGGCTAGAAGGTGCGGATGACAATGACCACCTTCAGGAGCTGGGCAAGGCTGAGATTCGACAAGCCAGAAAGAGGACGTGCACAAGCATTGAGAATGGAGTTCAGGGAAACTTGGAAACCCTGCTCTCCAGTGCCCCAAGCCCACACTTCAGCAGATCCCCAACATTGCTGAGGAACTGGGACTTGAGAAAGGTATTGCCCAAGTCTGGCTCTGTAACCAGCATCAGAAGGGCAAGTGCAGCAATAGTAACTCACCCCAAGAAGATTTTGAGGCAGCTGGCCCCTTCCCTGGGGCACCTATGCCTTTCCCCCTAGCTCCAGGCCCTCCTTTCAGTCATCCCGCTTATGGGCGCCCTCATTTCACCATTCTCCATTCCCCAGCTCCTTTCACAGAGGGGGGATGCATTTTCCTCCCTCCCTGTTACCGATCCCTCTGGGCTGTACCGAGCATTCAAGCTGAAGGACTGAGCCGGTCCTTGGCGGAGGAGGTGAGAGACTAGAGATGAGGAACCCAACAAATTGTTTTAAGGTCTGGGAGTTGGACGATTGAGCTTTCTATATCCTGGCAGGATTTAGGCACAGGGAAGGATGGGATCAGTATTTCAGAGATTCAGAAACAGACTGTTTTGAGGGGAATGGGTGGGAAGGAAGTGGATAGTTTGTTGTTTGTTAGTTCCGCATCTCTTTCATCTCCCAGCTCTTAAATAAAGCAACCTGAAAAACAAGTGAAAACAAAACAAAAACAACAGAAGGTGGAGGAAGCCAGGGAAGCTAACTAGGAGGCGTGACAGGAGGAAGAACACTGCCGGCCTGGGGAGCCCTCCATCTCCTACATCCAGGCCTTTGCAAGTGAGTGCGAGGGCCGTTGCGGGAGCAGCGAGAAGGTCAGTATTGCTGGATCCCAGAGTGCACAGAGTGAAGTGTAAGGTAGGAAGGGGCCAGGTTATGAAGAGCGTTACAGGCCGATTGAAAAAGAAAGGAAAAAGAGAAAAGAGAAGGAGGAAAAAGAGGAAGGAAAAAAAAAAGTGAATCTCAGTCTCTTCCTCCGAATAATGAAGGGTGCATTCTAGATAATCCCTAAGTTTCTGGTCACCTCTAGCATTCTCTGATTTCAAGAGGAACACAGAGAAGAAGGAAAGGACTCAAGTAGCAGCAACTTCTTAGAAAAAGACTGGCCAGAGCCAGGAGCCTCCTAGTTGCTTCAGGATTAGGCATCACCATGGTTACTGAAGTCTGCTGGGCAAAAAAGGGAACAGTTGTCAGAGAAGTTTTTCTGCTCAATTGAGACCTAAAGTCTGGGAATAATTTCTATTCCTCAAGTCTGGGTTGAGACCAGAGGGAAAAAGGGAGACGCTGTCAATTGAATTACTTGGGCTTATGACTGCTTCTGTGGTTCGTGGTTATTTCTTGGGTTTGCATTAGCTGGTGATGCATCACTCGGACACATGGAGAATGCTTAGGAAACATTAGTTCCTTGAATGGAGGTTTGTAAGCACCAGGCCTTGAAGGTGAGATAACTCCACAACCATCTAGCTCTCCCCAATCTATGGAGGCAAACAGCTCATGAAGAAGACAGATTTGCCTGTCTAGTTTGTCCTATTGGAAGGGGGTTAATGCTCCGGTCTGGCAGGGCTTTCTATAGTAGAAAGTCCATTTTCTACTACTGGATGTTCCATGGCATTCCAAGTAAATAAAGAAGTCTGTGTAACAAGCAGGTACCATTATCCAACCAGCTAGCAAGCTTCCTGTGTGAAAAGATACCTGCAGAATTCTTATTTAGAGCACCATGTGAAGACATGGAGGTGGGAAATAAATCTAAGTGACTAGGTTTAGTGTATGTGATGAAACTGATGAAATCGAGGAAAGTTATCAGAATTTATTGAAAATTGTTGTTTGTAATAAAAAAGAATTTTTAAAAAGAAAATTAACAGTCAATAAACCTAGTCTCATTCCACAGAAGCCAAACAAAAGACCTTGCCCTTGCCAGCTCTGCTACTTCTTCCATTCCCACTCCCACCCCCACATCCCATTTTGGTAGCAAAGGTAGAGGTAACCCAGGTGGAGCCTGGGATTCTTTGGAGTAAAATCAGCCTGACAATGGTCACTGTGCCTCCTTGGCTGCCAGTCTCTGTGGATTGCTAAGCAAATCCATCCCCAGCAGCTTCCCACATTTTGTGTCTATATTTCACCAAATAAAGGGAGAAGCTACAAATGAATGTTTTAACTTCATCAGGGTAGATAAGTCAATTCAGTTTAATTTTGTCCCAACCTAGACTTCTGAATTAGTCTACCAGGCTAGATTCACTGGATAATTGCCAGCTCTCTGCTTTCCTTTGTCCTGGGGAAACATTACCTAAATTAAGATAACCAAGGCCACTCCAGTCTCCTAAAAGATAAACAGCTATCCCTTACAAGAGGTAAGAGAAGCCCTTAGATCACTAATGGAATACAAATGAGTATATCTCTCAGAGAGAATTAAACTCAGAAATGTGACTTAAATTCTCTTGAGTGCAAGGAAAGCATAACAGCCTCAAATATGGAAATATGTTCAATATTTCAATATTGAATGATAAATTTGGCATTCTTTATGCAGACTCTAGAAGCTCACAGATTCCTTGTCATTTAAATAACAGATGGTTTTAAAAAGAAGTGAAGTTAGAATTTGGGGGGATGTCTTTGGATTTTTACTAAGAGTCAAATGGTGAACAGACAAATGTTTCTGGATGTTTTCTCTTGCATGAACACTTAGAACTGTGTAATTCTGGCAAAGGCCCAGGATAAGAAAAATCTACTTAGCCTCACTGTGATCACCTTGACAAGTTCCATCATATCTTTGACAAATCCATCCACTTCTGGGCCTTCCAAGGCTCCAGTTTTACTCTGAAAGAAAGAAAAAAGTCCAAACAATTGAATGGAGTCAGAAAACACAAGAATAAATGTGGCAGACAGGCCAGGGCAATAATCTTTTCAGTATGCCGATAGATTCCAGGGCTCTGCAGTTGTCTACTTTAGTTTTTTTGTGTAGAACACTGATACACCACGTGAAAATGTTTAAAGAATTAATCCCAAATAAATCTCCCCCAACTAAATGGAAATTGTTCATCCTGAGTGCTTGGGCTCTCTGCAGGCAGAGTTTGCATGAAATATGAATGAATGAAGTACATTGATTTATTTTTTTCTCTCCTTTCAAAATAGCGGAAACTCAGAGCAGGAAGTATTTGTCACACATTTGTGATGGTTGCCTTAAAGTCAATCAAGAGCCACAATATCATGTTTTTGCTCAAAGAATGGTAAAGCATATAATTAGAAACAGAAGATCAAGAGAGATGGTACCAGAGGGGACACATTAGAGTATTCCCGCATGTTCTGAACATAAACAATCGTCTTTCCTTTTGCCCAATGTACATAGCACATAAACACATTTTCTTTATTTTAAGGGTAGGGAATTTATGGAAGGACATGTACAAGAGTCACACAGGATTAGAGTACATAGATGAATTGTCATCTGCTTTGTTGGCAGGAATGCCCACATCAGTGAGTCACGTATTCACTAAAATATGCATGTATGTATACCAAATGTACTACAAATGCAAATATACCCTAAGCTCCTCCCATAAAGTTATCATGAGAATTGTCAATACTCTTCTTCGAAGTTTCTCTGACCACTGCCTCCCCAAATCTGCCCTCCCTTCTATCAGCTCTCCACCCCACTCCTTCTCTTATCCCCTTTCCCTCCTGATTTGCTGTAGGGTAAGATAGATTTCTTTACCCAATTGAATGTGTAAATTATTTCCTCTTTAGCCAGTTCCAACGAGAGTAAGGCTCAAGCATCGTCTGCCAACCCCTCTGCCCCATCTTCCCCTCCACCATAAAACTTTTTTTGTGCCTCTTTAATGTGAGTTTACCCCATTCTACCTGTCCCTTCCTCCTCCCCATATATCCCTCTTTCTCACCCCTTAAGATTTTTTAGATATCATCCTATTATATAGTACATTCACACCTGTACCTTTTGTCTATGTATACTTCTTCTAACTGACCTAATAATGATAAAGTTCCTAGGAGTTACAAGTATCATCTTCCCATGCAGGAATGTAAACAGTTTAACCTTTTTGAATCCCCTATAATTTCTCTTTCGCCTAGCTCAGGTGGATTGCAAACTCAGGTACTATTGTTCCAAATGCAGGACTCCTTTCATGATAGCTCACTGTCTTGAAGTGTCAAGGTTGTTTCTTCCAAGTTCTCATTGTCCTCTGTGCCTTCTTCTTTACACTGTCCTTCTTCAATCTCAAGAAGTCCAATCTCTTGGACTTAGTAGCCAGTTTAGTAATTGTTATTTCCTCCTTCCAATTCAGGGCCAAAAGGATCATAGCATTGAAGAGCTCGAGTTCTGGGTGAGAGGTGGTACATCGGAGGCCATTTGGAGGCCATCTAGCCCATCCTCCTCATTCCACCAATGAGGAAACCAAGGTTCAGAGAAGTTAATTTACTTGATAGAATTCACACAGATGTTAAATTGCAGAGATAGGATTCAAACCCAAGGCCCAAGATAACAAATTCAGCTCTTTTTTCCAGAACATCAGTCCCAAGGAGGCAATAAATTCTCATTTCAAGGAAACCTTGCCTTCATTAGGCCTAGAGTTAACATAGAAATTTTTTGATGTGCTAAAAATGGGGGTCAAAAGAGAAAATGTCCACTTTATATTTGGAATTGATAGAGCAAAAACACATGGACATTAAATGTCTGAACTTTTTTTTTTAACCAGTAGGTGGAGGTATGCACATCAGCCAACAATGGGTAATTACTGGCAAATATGGTGCAAGCCTCACACTTGCAGATTCATTGTATATTTCAACCATAGAATTAACATTCGGCAGGAAATGAGGGGAAATGTATCTTAACAAGTTCCTACATGCATTCTTTTTCCCGTGACCTTGTTTCAAAATGTCTCTCCTATCTTAATCACCCAATTCCTTTTAGCAGAAAGCAGACACAAGCCAGTAGTCCAGGGGTGGGGAACCTTTGGCCGTGAGATCAAGTGTGGTCCTCTAGGTCCTCAAGTGTGGCCCTATTAGGTCAAAGGGCTGTGCTTGAGGACCTAGAGGGCCATATGTGGCCTCCAGGTCACAGGTTCCCCACCCTTGCCTGAGTAGTCAGTTTTGAGTTCAGCAATGTGTTTTGTTGTACATTGATATAAGGGTTCAGTTGCATGTATTTTATTCAGTGTCACAACTTACAGTCTTAGAGTTTTCTGGGACACTGAAGGTTGAGTGACTTGTCCAGGGTCACACAGCCAGTATGTATCAGAGATGGGACTTGAACTCAGGTCTTCCTGACCAAGGCCAGCTCTCAATCCATTACACCAAGCTGCCTCTCTAGATAGCCATTATAACTACAAAATAATACATTTTGTCATTTTCCTCAGCTCCTGAGGCAATTTAAATTAAGCTATTTCAAAAATTTCAAGATAGTTTGATAATTTTTTTCTTTTTGCTTTAGAGGATGGACAAACCCACTTTTAGAAAATAATATGTTTATACACTGCCATTTTTAGTTTGTTCTACCCAATGGCAGTTGGCATGGAATAGTGGGTAAACCTTAGTGGAAATGAAAAATCTTGCAGCCAGAATTTTCGGTGTATTCAAAGGGTATGGAGGCCCTATCATAGGAGTTCGAATGGTGTTCATTTGAGTGGCTATACAATTTTCTAACCTCAAGAGCTCCAAAAGTTTAACTCAAGAGTCTTAAAAGTATAACACAAAGAATAAGGTACTTACAACATCATAATGGGCAAAGATTTTCTCAAAATCCCTCTTTCTTTCTTCAGTACTACAGGCCTAGGAGGGAGGGAAATTGCATCAGGGACAATTCAAGATGTCCAAAATAGAACTCATTATCTTCCCCTTACCCCAATAATCCCCTCTTCTGAACTTTCCTCAGCTCCTAGGCTAGCAATCCTCACTGTCACCCCCCATATTGAATCCATTGGCAAATTTTGTTTCTACCTTTACAATATCTTTCATGTGTGTTCCCTTTTCTCCACTCAGGTGACCTTAGGTTGGACCCTCATCACCTCTCATCTGGACTACTCTTAACTCGTCACCCTGCCTTTAATCTCCTGCCGCTCCAATCCATCTTCCACTCAGTTGCCAGAGGTATTTTTCTAAAATGTTCTAGTTATATCATCCTGCACTCCTGCTCTACAAGGAAGCTCCATGGTGCTCTAAAACCTTCAGGAACAAATAGCAACTCTTTTGTCTGGCATTTAAAGGTCTCCATAACGTGGCCTCTTTTTACCTTTCTAGCCTTACACCTTATTCCTTTCTACCTACAATGCTAGCTACAATGGCCTGTTTGCTGCTCCTCAAACCACCTCCTATCTGTGAACTTTTGCACTGGCTGTTTCTCATGCTTGGAATGCTCTGCTCCCCTTCTTTCCTTCCTTTCTTCCTTTCTTCCTTCCTTCTTTCCCTCCTTCCTTCCTTCCTTCCTTCCTTCCTTCTCTCCCTCCATCCCTCCTTTCTCTCTCTCTTTCTTTCCTTTCTTTTTTCTCTCTTTCCTTTTTTCCCCTTCCTCCCTCTCCCCTTCCCTTCCTCCTTTCTTTCTTTCTTTCTTTCTTTCTTTCTTTCTTTCTTTCTTTCTTTCTTTCTTTCTTTCTTTCTTTCTTTCTCTTTCTTTCTTCCTTCCTTCCTTCCTTCCTTCCTTCCTTCCTTCCTTCCTTCCTTCCTTCCTTCCTTCCTTCCTTTCTTTCTTTCTTTCTTTCTCTCTCTCTTTCTTCCTTCCTTCCTTTCATTTTCTCTCACTCTTTCTATTTTGTATTTAATTATTTTCTCAAATAAAGATCCACTTTCTCCCCCCTCAATTCCCCCTACCCCTCATTGAGAAAGCAAGAAAAATAAAATCCCCTGTTACAACCATGTGTAGTCAAGCAAAACAAATCCCCAGATTGGTCATGACTAAAAAAAAAAAAGTAGTCTCAATTTCTTGAGTCCTGAGTCTGAGGTGTGGCTTCTTTGAATACTCAGCTCAAATCCCACCCTCTGCAGATAGCCTTTATTGGACACTTAGCTTCTCATTGAAGGGTAAGGGGAGGGCTACATTCACATAGTCTGTATATATCTCATATCCGACTTGGTATGTACTTGTTTCCTTTATTAGAATCTGCACTCCTTGAGAGTACAAACTGTGCAGTTGTTTTTTGTTTTTCCTTTATTAAGTTCTTAGCACAGTCCCTGGCATAGAGCAAGCATTTAATAACTGCTTGTTGAGTGACTGCCACACAAGGCCATTAGGGGTCAGGGTCCCCTTTGTATACTTCAGTCTGTAGTTCCATTGAATCCTCTCTGAGTCACTTCAGCAGCCAACAAGTGAAAACCCAAATCTCCAATGATTTTTTCCCCTCCTTCACTCTTCCCTTTAAATCTATTGACAATGGCATACATTACTCTAGAGAAATACTGCTACTTACATCCATTTTAAACTGAAGCAGGAAGTTTTCCTGGAGAGCCAGAATCCTATATGGAGAAAAAAACCCAGAGTCACCTGTGAGTGACTGTTGCCAGAGCTTCAGGTTATGTGACAAAGTAAGTCTTTTCTGAACAGGATGGATACTTCTTCCTGAGAATTTGCTCAGTCAAACAGTTCTGTCAAAGGCAGAACTTCAGCTCAGGTCTTTTTGACCTGAGGGGAGCTAGGTGGTACAGTGGATAGAACACTCTGCCTGGAGTCAGAAAGACCTGAATTCAAAGGTTACCTCTTCCATATAGCAGGCGCCAGGGACGTGGCGCCCCTTTGATTTGGAAAAATTTGTGTAAAATTTTTTGGCCATCCCTTTGTGCCAGAGAAGAAGTCCAATTTTTTTTTCTTTTCCTTTTATGGGGTATTTACAGTATCTGTTTTGTAAAATTTGGCTTAAGAATTTGGTCATAGGCTCGGTGTCAGCTGCTGGGCTTCATGTGTCATCTGCAACTTCCACAAAATTACCCCAAAATTCTCATTTAATTTCTTAAGCTGACTGGAGACATATTGAAATCATGATGGGGAAAGTCGAGATGTGGAAGGGATAACTGTATTACCTCAAATGTTTAATAGCTGTGTAACCCTGGGCAAGTTATTTAACCCAGTCACCTACCTCAGTTTACTCATCGTAAAATGGGGATAATAATAGCACCTATGTCCTAGGGTTGTTGTGAGGATAAAATGAGATGATATTTGTAAAGTGTTCTGCAAACCTTAAAGCACTATATAAATGCAAGCTATTATTATTACTATTACAAATTATTATTATTATTATTATTACTCTAGTGCTTAAATGCTTGCTGAATTCCTTACTGTTCAGGTGATTGTAATAATTAAGTAACTGTTGCCTCATGCTGGAAGGGAGGTGATTTTGGCTTCTTGCTCATTATGTATACAAAGTACAAGCACCGACTGGTTCTACTTAGCTCTAGCTTTGATTCCAGGCTGAGGACCCCTGAGTTCAGAGATCCTTATCACCAGGTAATGAATTTTTCTGGCTGTCACAATTCATAAAACTGTCTGCTAAGGTACTGCAGTATTGCTATCTGTCTTGGCAACAAGAACATCTACACAGATGAGATCATGAACCTTTGAAGTTCTGTACTATGAATAATTTACATTTCTATAATGTCATACGTTATAAAGTGTTTTCATTATCTAATGTGATTACCACAACAAGTCTGCCAGGTAGGTAATATTACACCTATTTTCCAGAGGAAGAAACTGAGTTTCAAAGAGAAAAAGGGATTTGCCCAAGCCACAGTGAATAAGGGATACAACCAGAATTTATGATGCAGAAGAATAATAAATGGTCTTTGTGAAACCTCCAGACATATATAAAACAAGTTAGTTTCTTTTTTTCATTCCATAGTTCTTTTTTTATTAATTTATTTTGATTTATCAACAATCACTTCCATAAGCTTTTGAGTTTTAAATTTTTCTCTCCCTCCCTCCCTGCCTCTCTCCCCAAGATGGCGCACAAGCTGATATATGCTATTCATATACATTCCTATTAAACGTATTTTCACATTAGTGATAAGTTAGTTTCAAAAAATTGAATTTTCATGATTAAGGGTGCTTTGTTGTATATAAAACATTTCTGCCTTGAAATTCCCTTTCCTCCACTTATTTCTTATGATCACCCTTCAGATTATACTTGCCTCCCTACTCAAGACAGCTGCCTTATCTGAGAAAAGACTCCTACTTTAGCTAGTGACACCTCTGCACATTGACCACTCCTATGTAATAATCTGTTCCATTTATTTCCGTGAATTACAGGCTCCTAGACTGACTGTTGGAAGGGACCTTAGGGGTCACTTAGGCCCACTCTCTGGTTTTACAAATTAGGCAAGCCCCAAGAGGAATAGTGAGTTGGCCAAGGTCACACAGATAGTAAATGGCAGACTGACTCAAAACCAGGACCTCTTACTCAAGGTCCATTGGGTGCTTATTCTAAAGTGTGGCCCTTTAAAAAAAATACTGAAATCTGGGGCTCTGTATGAAGCAATCTGTTGTCTCACTGAAAGTGCTACATTTGGAACATGCTGGTCACTAGCTCCAAGACAGACTGCCCTCTCCACTCCCCCCTTTCCAGCTTTTCTCTATGTGTTGTCTTTCTCTACTAGAATAGAATCTCTTTGAGGGCAGGCACCTTACTATGTGACTAGGACATAATAAGTGCTTAATTAATTTTTATTTATCTGTTAGGAATTGAGATCTCACAACTGGGCTTAAATTTATCTAAAGAATAAAAATTTAATAGGAGACAAGAAAAACACACTTTCCTGTGTCTGAAGCCATTTGTCCTGTTTTATGCCTTATATACTCTATCATTTCCACAAATGAGGGCCCTAGATATGAATGTTGGAGTCAAGAGATCAGATTTCGAATTTATGCTTTGACACTATCCAACTCTTGCTTTAAAGGAAAAACCCTAAATGCTCCTTTGTGCCCAGACTCAATCTCTGTTGTCCAAATAAGATGAATTTAATGTATTTTCACAACCTTATGGAGTTTGCTTCAAAACCCACTGAATTTTTTTAATATTGCTGACCTTGCCAAGTCATTCAGATCCAACTGGCCATCTTTGTTTTTGTCAAAGATCTTCATCTGGAAAGAAGAGAAAATAATCATGAAAAGGTTGATTTTGATAAGCCTGGCTAAGCAAGTCTATGGGTATGGATCCTATAGAAAGAAGCAGGAAAGGAATTCCAAAGTAGTCTCAAGAAAGCTCACGTCAAAAAATTTACTAACATTGTTATCCTTCCCACTCCTTGCCCTCTACCCACCCTCTCATCAAATATATAATATCTCAACTGCATGAAAGAGAACATTCTCTCCAAGAAACTGTGACACCACAGTTAAGTGGTAGACTGGGAATAGTGATGTGTTGAATAATGTGATGAGAATGGAAGGGTAGGAAGTTTTGGTTGAAAGGAGAATTTTAAAGTCTTGGAGATGGTGAGATTTTCCACAGTGGTAACGTCTAAGGTGTGGTAATAGAGGTAAAGGTAATTTAGGAATTCGAAGAATTGCAGAAAACTGAGGAGTTTGAAGAATTGAGATGGGCATTTTGCTAGAGCTGTTGCCGACACAAATGTTGAGGTCCTGGAGGATGATTTCAGGGAATGGACCAGAAAGGGAGACCACTACTAAAGGGAGTCAGCTACTAAAATCATTGAGAACATTGGGAGAAGTATTTGCACAAGTCAATAGATAACTATAGCCAGGATGAGAAGAGTGGGGTAAATACTGGGAGAACAGTAGTGCTTATCATTCAATTCAATTCAGCAAGCATTAATTAAGTGAAGTCCTGGTAAGTTCTGAAATTTAACTAGAATGATCCTTGCCTTCATGTGCCTCACAATGTAGAAGGGCAGCTAGGTAGCACAGTGGATAGAGCATTGGGCCTGAAGTCAGGAAGACTCGTCTTTTTGACTTCACATCTGGCCTCAGACACTTCCTAGCAGTGTGACTCTGAGCAAGTCACTTAACACTATTTGTCTCAGTTTCCTCATCTGTAAAATGAACTAGAGAAGGAAATGGCAGACCACTCCAGTATCTTTGCCAAGGAAACTCCAAACGGGGTTACAAAGAGTTGGACGTGACTGAAAAATGACTCAACAACAACAACTAGTAGGGAGATGTGTCATATACACAGAGAGCTATAATACATAATATTGTATAAAGGCATTAGAGAAATTCAGCAAGTGCTCCATGAGTATCTGCAAGAAGGTTGTAGCTCCCAGAGGGAATCCTAGAAGGCTTCAGAGTGGAGGAGTTAGCTGTTTATCATTGAATGAGTCAGAGCTGTGATGTCCTTCAAAAGCAGAGGGGCATTTTACCCCACCCCTATTTACCTGTATGGCTCCTACTTGTGTATTTGTGCACGGACATTTCTGTGTAGAATTATGTGGTGAAGTAATTCTCTCTCTAGCTGCAGATAGTTTTACTGTCTGCAGTTTAAACTGAAACACAAGTTTTCTGGGAAAGGCACCTTAGACCAGGAGTTGGGAGACAAGATTTCTGGCTTTAAGTAGCTGTGTGATGTGGGTAAGTCACTTTGTCTGCTTCTCTGCCCAACGTTAGTGGGTCCTGTGAGATCAAATATTCTATAAAACTAGCTGAGCTCTGCCAGTCCTTTTCAGATTCAAGTTTCCATGATAATTTGAAGACTTGCTGAAGGAAAAATCCTATGTAAGCAAATCCCCTTTCCCGTCAGCAAGTGTGATCCTTCAGAGTAAGCTCTGCTGACTGAACAAGCCAGGAATTCTAGGGCTCCCACAGCTACAGCCAGGCTTGTCAAGGGGCTAACTGTTTCAATGATGATAAAAGCACCCTCACGGGCAGTTGTTGGGGTGTGAAACATTGGTGAGATAGATTTAGGTTCTCAAAAACTCTGGCTTAGTTACTTTTCCTCTCATTCCAGTCACAGCTCAAACCCAGACAGCGATGGAAGTTCCATCAATCAACCAATCAATGACTCCACAAGCATCCATTAGTTAGACTATATGAGTCTGCTCTGTTCCATTCAACAAACATTTATAAATGCCCACCTCTTCCAGAGCACTGTACTAGGGCCCTAGAGACATGCACATTTCAGGTTAGACCAAGTATTAGAGTTCATGGAGTTTACAATCCAGTACCTCCATTTTCCACTTTCGTGCACAAGTCACACCTCAAACTCCCCATGCTGGGAATTCCTGGCCTGCTCACCCCTGCCTCTCAGAATTTTTATCTTCCTTCACTTGATATTTACTTGCCTGTGTACATGCCGCAGCACTCACTCCTTACCAACTCCTCCCCCCACAGGATGTATGTCTCTTGAAGGCAGGGACTGTTTCATTTATAGCTAATAATAGTTAGCATTTATATAGCACTTTAAGGTGTTACAAAGCACTTTACAAATATTATTTTATTTCATCCTTACAGCAATCCTGGGAGGTAAGTGATATTAGTATCCCCAATTTTACAGATAAAGAAACTGAAACAAACCGATGTTAAGTAACTTGCCCAGAGGCACATAACTAGTAAGTGTCTCAGGCTGGATTAGAACTCAGGTCTTTCTGACTCCAGGCCCAGTGCTGTATCTAATGCACCACTTACCTGCCACATATTTGATCTTATATTCCTAAAGCCTACTATCTGAAGTGTAATATGGTGGTCCATAGATGGAGCACTGGGCCTGAAGTCGGGAAGACTCATCTTCCTGAGTTCAAATCTAGCCTCAGACACTTACTAGTTGTGTGACCCTGGACAAGTCACTTAAGCCTGTTTGCCTCAGTTACCTCATCTGTCAAATGAGCTGGAGAAGGAAATGGTAAACCACTTCAGTATCTCTGCCCCCAAATGGAGTCAAGGAGAGTTGGACATGACTGAAAAATGACTGACCAATGACTAGAGCAGCGGCAACATGTAGGGCTTGTTTATTCACATGTGTATCTTTGCTTGATACTGCATTTGGGCAATTAGTTGAACCCATAAATGAACAGGAGGAGGTGAAGGGGGAGGTGCATTAACTTTGGAAAATTGCAGAGACTCTTAATGACCCCAAGCTTCCCTCTGAAAAAGGCTCTTCTGTAGAATAATAGTATTCAGGTGATTCATGGCTACAAGAAAGGTAACAACTCCAGTGTGTGAAGAGCTGAAAATGAGTATCATTTAGAGCACAATGGAAAGGTGGATGTCAGGTATGAGTCAGCTGCCGCATATTGTACGCCATTAGTCGAGAAGGGGAAGTGGAGTAAAGGATGTCATTTCAGAAATATAGGAGCCTAAAAGAAGATGAGACGGTCACATGGTAAGAGGGAGAAATAGCTTCCCTGGTATCCTTATAGCATTGTGAAAAAGAGGGAGGCTCCCCACATATTGCATGCAGCCCCTGTGATATGGGCTATGGATGAATAGGTGCAGAGCTGATGGGTCACTGTCTGCATAATTAGACAGAATACCCACAAGGATGAGTCCACAAACCCAATTCTGTATTGGAGCATCCCTTGCACCTAGTGCCATGTGCTTGGTAGATACTTTGTAAATGTTTGTTGAACTCAAATGAATAGGGGAACATGCCACATATTCAAGTAACTATTATTATTATTTTTTAAAATCATACATGCTAAGTACATTAGAGTGGTATAATCAAAGGGCCAGGTGAGGTCTGAGGGGAGAAAAGTCCCTCTAAAATTGGGGTTGATTAGGGAAGGTTTCATGGAGTATTGGTGCATGAGAAAGCACAGGACAGGTAGAGGAGATGAGAAGCAGTCCAGCTTGGTTGCAGTAAGGAGTGTGTAGAGGGGCGTAGCATGAGATAAGAATGGGCAGGTAGGATGAGGCAAGGGTGTATTTCAGAAGGCTTTGACTTCCATATTAAGGAGCTGACAGCTTACATCCATCATGCTATTACTATCCTGTTCATATTGCAATTGGGAAGGAAAGCACCTCAGCCAAAACGAATTAGGTATATGTTCTATAGCCCCAGCCTAGTGGTTCTCAAGTAATGGTAATTTGATGTTCATTTCTCCATCAGTCTAGCCTCAGAACATATTTGCAGAAGAGTCATGGGATTTCACTGAGCCTCACTCTTTCCAACAGATTCTTAGAGACAGGACATTTCTCCTGAGAGTTAATGGACCAAACCTACATGGGGCTTAAAACTATATGCATAGAAGCATTATGGGCTCAGAACTTGTCTCCATCATGAGCCGCCACTGTACACAGATTTCTGAACCAGATCAGATTTCAGTTACTGCTAAATAGTTTATGAATGATGTTCTCTGGGTTTTGTCCTAGCACAGCTCCCTTAGCTAATTTCTTTTAAAATTTTATTAATACACTATATTTTTATATCACAGATGTGATACCCAGTGACCTTTATATGCACCATTCCACACATGCAGTCCTTCACCTCTGTACTGCAAGAAAGGAAGTATATTTTATTATCTATTCTCCAGGACTAAGATTGGTCAATGCGATCAATTGGCAGTTTGTGCCCTCTTTTTCATTACCGTAAAATGTTCTTTCATGTAATAATATTCATTGTTGTAAATATTTTTTGTTATTGTATAATTTTCTTTGGGCATTTAATAAATACTTGTTAATTAATTTACTCAGCATCAGTTCATATAAGTCTTCACTTGTTTCTTCCTATTCCTCATTTCTTATGGCACAATAAAATTCCATGACATTTATATACCACAACTTGTTCAGGGATCTCCAAATAGATGGGCAATCATTTTGTTTCAAGTTGCTGGCAATTATAAAAATGTTAGCTATGCATATTTGGGAACATATGAGACCTTTCCATCTTTGATCTCTTTCAGGTTTATACCCAGTACGAGGACCTCAGGTTAAAAGAATAAGGAACAATTCTATGATTTTTCTGTATATTGAAAAAAAATCCCCCCCCCCGAATTGTTGGACAGAGTTCACAGCTACACCAAAAGTACCCTAGTATGTGTGGTCTATCTTCTCAAAGGGCTTCCAACTCAGGGGTGGGGAACCGGTGGCCTCAAGGCCACATGTGACCCTCTAGATCCTTAAGTGCAGCCCTTTGACTGAATCCAAACTTCCCAGAACAAATCCCCTTAATAAAAGGATTCGTTCTGTAAAAC